TAGAAAGCTGAATCTTTCACTGAATTTCATCCCTTTCAAAGGACTACAATCCCTGAAAATTTCAGCTCATTTGCACTAATAGTTCCTGAGATAAAATCGTGTTAAGCAATTTGGGGTGATTTATCAATTTTTCAATTTTTCTGAGTGCCTTTTTTCATAGATTTCGGCTTCAAATCTGAGAATAATTTAGTGTATGGAGATTGGGGGGTGTTAATTGACCATTAGGACACAGAATCTCAACAAAAAAAAAATTGAAATTTTATCGTTTTAGTATGAAGGTAGCTACCTTATGATTTAGATTTTGGAAAATTTTAAAAGGTCATAACTTTTTTTCTATTATAGATAGAAAGCTGAATCTTTCACTGAATTTCATCCCTTTCAAAGGACTACAATCCCTGAAAATTTCAGCTCATTTGCACTAATAGTTCCTGAGATAAAATCGTGTTAAGCAATTTGGGGTGATTTATCAATTTTTCAATTTTTCTGAGTGCCTTTTTTCATAGATTTCGGCTTCAAATCTGAGAATAATTTAGTGTATGGAGATTGGGGGGTGTTAATTGACCATTAGGACACAGAATCTCAACAAAAAAAAATTTGAAATTTCATCGTTTTAGTATGAAGGTAGCTACCTTATGATTTAGATTTTGGAAAATTTTAAAAGGTCATAACTTCTTTTCTATTATAGATAGAAAGCTGAATCTTTCACTGAATTTCATCCCTTTCAAAGGGCTACAATCCCTGAAAATTTCAGCTCATTTGCACTAATAGTTCCTGAGATAAAATCGTGTTAAGCAATTTGGGGTGATTTATCAATTTTTCAATTTTTCTGAGTGCCTTTTTTCATAGATTTCGGCTTCAAATCTGAGAATAATTTAGTGTATGGAGATTGGGGGGTGTTAATTGACCATTAGGACACAGAATCTCAACAAAAAAAAAATTGAAATTTTATCGTTTTAGTATGAAGGTAGCTACCTTATGATTTAGATTTTGGAAAATTTTAAAAGGTCATAACTTCTTTTCTATTATAGATAGAAAGCTGAATCTTTCACTGAATTTCATCCCTTTCAAAGGACTACAATCCCTGAAAATTTCAGCTCATTTGCACTAATAGTTCCTGAGATAAAATCGTGTTAAGCAATTTGGGGTAATTTATAAATTTTTCAATTTTTCTGAGTGCCTTTTTTCATAGATTTCGGCTTCAAATCTGAGAATAATTTAGTGTATGGAGATTGGGGGGTGTTAATTGACCATTAGGACACAGAATCTCAACAAAAAAAAATTTGAAATTTCATCGTTTTAGTATGAAGGTAGCTACCTTATGATTTAGATTTTGGAAAATTTTAAAAGGTCATAACTTTTTTTCTATTATAGATAGAAAGCTGAATCTTTCACTGAATTTCATCCCTTTCAAAGGACTACAATCCCTGAAAATTTCAGCTCATTTGCACTTATAGTTCCTGAGATAAAATCGTGTTAAGCAATTTGGGGTGATTTATCAATTTTTCAATTTTTCTGAGTGCCTTTTTTCATAGATTTCGGCTTCAAATCTGAGAATAATTTAGTGTATGGAGTTTGGGGGATGTTAATTGACCAGTAGGATACAAAATCCCAACAAAAAAAAATTTGAAATTTTATCGTTTTAGTAAGAAGGTAGCTACCTTATGATTTTAGATTTTGGAAAACTTTGGAAGGGCATAACTTTTTTTCTATTATAGATAGAAAGCTGAAACTTTCACTGAAATTTATCCCATTCAAGGGACTACAATCCCTGAAAATTTCAGCTCATTTGCACTTATAGTTCCTGAGATAAAATCGTGTTAAGCAATTTGGGGTGATTTATCAATTTTTCAATTTTTCTGAGTGCCTTTTTTCATAGATTTCGGCTTCAAATCTGAGAATAATTTAGTGTATGGAGATTGGGGGGTGTTAATTGACCATTAGGACACAGAATCTCAACAAAAAAAAATTTGAAATTTCATCGTTTTAGTATGAAGGTACCTACCTTATGATTTAGATTTTGGAAAATTTTAAAAGGTCATAACTTTTTTTCTATTATAGATAGAAAGCTGAATCTTTCACTGAATTTCATCCCTTTCAAAGGACTACAATCCCTGAAAATTTCAGCTCATTTGCACTAATAGTTCCTGAGATAAAATCGTGTTAAGCAATTTGGGGTGATTTATCAATTTTTCAATTTTTCTGAGTGCCTTTTTTCATAGATTTCGGCTTCAAATCTGAGAATAATTTAGTGTATGGAGATTGGGGGGTGTTAATTGACCATTAGGACACAGAATCTCAACAAAAAAAAATTTGAAATTTCATCGTTTTAGTATGAAGGTAGCTACCTTATGATTTAGATTTTGGAAAATTTTAAAAGGTCATAACTTCTTTTCTATTATAGATAGAAAGCTGAATCTTTCACTGAATTTCATCCCTTTCAAAGGGCTACAATCCCTGAAAATTTCAGCTCATTTGCACTAATAGTTCCTGAGATAAAATCGTGTTAAGCAATTTGGGGTGATTTATCAATTTTTCAATTTTTCTGAGTGCCTTTTTTCATAGATTTCGGCTTCAAATCTGAGAATAATTTAGTGTATGGAGATTGGGGGGTGTTAATTGACCATTAGGACACAGAATCTCAACAAAAAAAAATTTGAAATTTCATCGTTTTAGTATGAAGGTAGCTACCTTATGATTTAGATTTTGGAAAATTTTAAAAGGTCATAACTTTTTTTCTATTATAGATAGAAAGCTGAATCTTTCACTGAATTTCATCCCTTTCAAAGGACTACAATCCCTGAAAATTTCAGCTCATTTGCACTTATAGTTCCTGAGATAAAATCGTGTTAAGCAATTTGGGGTGATTTATCAATTTTTCAATTTTTCTGAGTGCCTTTTTTCATAGATTTCGGCTTCAAATCTGAGAATAATTTAGTGTATGGAGATTGGGGGGTGTTAATTGACCATTAGGACACAGAATCTCAACAAAAAAAAAATTTGAAATTTCATCGTTTTAGTATGAAGGTAGCTACCTTATGATTTAGATTTTGGAAAATTTTAAAAGGTCATAACTTTTTTTCTATTATAGATAGAAAGCTGAATCTTTCACTGAATTTCATCCCTTTCAAAGGAATACAATCCCTGAAAATTTCAGCTCATTTGCACTTATAGTTCCTGAGATAAAATCGTGTTAAGCAATTTGGGGTGATTTATCAATTTTTCAATTTTTCTGAGTGCCTTTTTTCATAGATTTCGGCTTCAAATCTGAGAATAATTTAGTGTATGGAGATTGGGGGGTGTTAATTGACCATTAGGACACAGAATCTCAACAAAAAAAAATTTGAAATTTCATCGTTTTAGTATGAAGGTAGCTACCGAGGTAGCTACCTTATGATTTAGATTTTGGAAAATTTTAAAAGGTCATAACTTCTTTTCTATTATAGATAGAAAGCTGAATCTTTCACTGAATTTCATCCCTTTCAAAGGGCTACAATCCCTGAAAATTTCAGCTCATTTGCACTTATAGTTCCTGAGATAAAATCGTGTTAAGCAATTTGGGGTGATTTATCAATTTTTCAATTTTTCTGAGTGCCTTTTTTCATAGATTTCGGCTTCAAATCTGAGAATAATTTAGTGTATGGAGATTGGGGGGTGTTAATTGACCATTAGGACACAGAATCTCAACAAAAAAAAATTTGAAATTTCATCGTTTTAGTATGAAGGTAGCTACCTTATGATTTAGATTTTGGAAAATTTTAAAAGGTCATAACTTCTTTTCTATTATAGATAGAAAGCTGAATCTTTCACTGAATTTCATCCCTTTCAAAGGGCTACAATCCCTGAAAATTTCAGCTCATTTGCACTTATAGTTCCTGAGATAAAATCGTGTTAAGCAATTTGGGGTGATTTATCAATTTTTCAATTTTTCTGAGTGCCTTTTTTCATAGATTTCGGCTTCAAATCTGAGAATAATTTAGTGTATGGAGATTGGGGGGTGTTAATTGACCATTAGGACACAGAATCTCAACAAAAAAAAATTTGAAATTTCATCGTTTTAGTATGAAGGTAGCTACCTTATGATTTAGATTTTGGAAAATTTTAAAAGGTCATAACTTTTTTTCTATTATAGATAGAAAGCTGAATCTTTCACTGAATTTCATCCCTTTCAAAGGACTACAATCCCTGAAAATTTCAGCTCATTTGCACTTATAGTTCCTGAGATAAAATCGTGTTAAGCAATTTGGGGTGATTTATCAATTTTTCAATTTTTCTGAGTGCCTTTTTTCATAGATTTCGGCTTCAAATCTGAGAATAATTTAGTGTATGGAGATTGGGGGGTGTTAATTGACCATTAGGACACAGAATCTCAACAAAAAAAAAATTTGAAATTTCATCGTTTTAGTATGAAGGTAGCTACCTTATGATTTAGATTTTGGAAAATTTTAAAAGGTCATAACTTTTTTTCTATTATAGATAGAAAGCTGAATCTTTCACTGAATTTCATCCCTTTCAAAGGACTACAATCCCTGAAAATTTCAGCTCATTTGCACTTATAGTTCCTGAGATAAAATCGTGTTAAGCAATTTGGGGTGATTTATCAATTTTTCAATTTTTCTGAGTGCCTTTTTTCATAGATTTCGGCTTCAAATCTGAGAATAATTTAGTGTATGGAGATTGGGGGGTGTTAATTGACCATTAGGACACAGAATCTCAACAAAAAAAAATTTGAAATTTCATCGTTTTAGTATGAAGGTAGCTACCTTATGATTTAGATTTTGGAAAATTTTAAAAGGTCATAACTTTTTTTCTGTCATAGATAGAACGCTGAAATTTGCAGCGATTTTTATTTCAGTAGAGGATTACAATCCCTGTCTATCTGTGTTAATAATATGTCATTACTTAAAACCAAAATTTGAGCTTCTTTTTCGTAGTTTGTCGACATTGGCATAGTGACGAGCATAGAAAGCAACCACAAATCGGTGGAAAGTGCTAGAAAAGGAATGGAAATTTGCATTAAAATCGAACCGATACCCGGCGAATCGCCCAAGATGTTCGGCAGGCACTTCGACGAAACAGATTTTTTAGTTAGCAAGGTAAGAATCAATCTCATATATATTTATATCTCTTTCTTATATAAGCTGGTAGAAAAAGACACAGAATACACTTCGCTATTATAATGTTTCATTCATCCGATAATGCGTGGGCGTTTTATTTCCATTCAATAATAATTAGCAGCTGGCTGTTAAATTCGCCGATACGTTTTTTTTTTTTGAAATGAATGAGCTGTGAACTTTGGGTCTTATAGATATTTGAATTGTGACATTTAATTATTACATTTTAATACATGTTGTCCTAAAACCAAGTGTATCAAACACCCTAAAACTAATAATTCCTCGCTAATTTTCTACATCCACAAAACCTAAACAAAATCTGTATGTGTATATTATTCCAAGACTGCGATTTTTCCTGGAAATCGAATCTCTTGACGCAATCAAGTTGGCTCGCAATTTCTAAACATCCGGCTTTTAATTTCAGATATCTCGTCAATCGATAGACGCTTGCAAGGACTATTTCCGCGACGATTTACTAAAAACCGACTGGCAATTGATGGTAGAACTGAAGAAAATCTTCCAGATACTCTAATTGAATTTTTTTAATTTTTACATTATATAGAATCTATTTTTTTTTTTGTTGTAGATTATCTTCTTTTCCTTATACAAGTTAAGATGTATATTTTAAATTATTATAAATAAAGTTTTTAAATGTGTGATTTGTTATCAGTCAATGTTACGCCAATGAGTTTTGGGGTCCACCCAAACAAAACGATGGTTTCGAGCCGAATACCGAGAAATCGGGAAATTATTTCGGTATGTGGGTTCAAGTATCTCTCTCTTTCTGCCCACCAGAATTTGGTTTATGAATTACTGAGATTTTGATTTTAAAAAAATATATAAATTGATTGATGGAATTTATCGGTAAAACGCCCATACACTTTGGGTAGGCTTTATAAAATCTATTTAAGGCGGTTATATAACAGTTATATAAGGCGTGGGAGTCTTAATTTATTATCAATCAGGTGCGGAAATAACTAATTTTTACACTCATTCATTATATAATGATTTACGACCCTTCTTGCAAGGAAACGCATGAGTAACCCTCCTTTCACATGCACATACGCACTTTCTTATGAATGAAATTGCAAATATTTTCTTCAATGAATAATTTTAAGGTTCTTAATGCCAACATCCGGATCCGGTGCATTTATTTATTAAAAACCATCTGTCAAAAAAAAAAAAAAAAGGGCTGCCTGACTTTGGTGAATGAATAGTTTACGACCCCTCGTCAAAATTCTAGGGCGGTCGTTTCCGGCTTCCGGTACTTCATTGAAAAAATAACGTATTTTTCCTTGAGCAGATGCCGCAGTAATTTACTCAATGAATCAATTGATAAATAATTATATTAAGAATTTCGAGTTTTGAAGGCATTATTATTATTATTATTAAAGACCGGTGTATGTATGTATGTATATACAATAATTAATTTCGTCTCCCATTCTTAAATACCATTAAATCTATTTTAAGCAATTTGTGAATAAAAATGCTTAGGTAATTTTATTCATGAATTCTCTCATTCAACAACCGGAGAGTCGTCACCCAGTGGACTGAAATCTGGCAAAGTATTGGACAAGTTTTGTTATTCATTATTACATTACAAGAATTTTTATGTTTCAGTGGTTGGTTGTTTCAATCATGGGTTTCCTTTGAAATCTGCATTTGCATGAATCTTTCTTCTAGAAAATTGATTTATTGAAATATTTTTTTGTATATTCGGGGAGCTATTAGCTCTAACATACTACAATTTCATAACAATAGAGCCCAAAACAACGGAGCTACGATTTTTTTTATTTTTGAATTTTTCCCAATTCTAACTTCAGAAATCAATAAAGCGAGTTCAAATTAGTCAGAAACGACTCTTAGATCAATTAAATTTGAGAATTATAATATAGTTTTTAAGAAAGTTTTGGACAAAATTTTGATTGAGCTTTCAGGTTTGATAGCTCAGGAAGCTCATGAGCTACTGGACCAAATTTGACAGAGAATGAAGAGAATTTCTTGCTCTTTCCAATGATATATAATTTAGCCCAATTTGCTCAGAAGTTATTCAAGATATGGGTCATTATTCATGACTATGTCAGAATTTGAAAAAAGTCCATAGCCAAAAATGAGATTTCGTTTTGGAGTTTCGCAAACCTAGCCGATGTCATAGTTGTTTGACTGATTTGAATTTGCTCTATCGATTTCTGAAGTCAAAATTGAGAAAAATTCAAAAATAAAAATTTTCAATTTTTTTGCACTTTTTCCTAAGGGGTACCCATTTGGATTTCTATTTTCAAATCTTCAAAGCTCGATATCTTGGTAACCAAAAGCGGTACCAAGACAAAATTTCCAGGATTTGTAGCTCTTGATGAGGGCTTTCAGATGGTATTCTGCTGAAATCGCTAGCTTTTATAGTTTTTGAGAAAATCGAATTTGAAGTTTTGGACAAAATTTTGACTAAAGTTCAACTTTGAAGTGCGATTGCTCGCGAACCCATTAAGGTACCAGAACCAATATGGTACAGTTTTGAAGAGAATTTGATGCTCTTTCCAATGATATATAATTGTAGTTAATTTGCTCAAATTCTATTGAAGATATGGGCAATTATTCATGAGCGTGTCATGATTTCAAAAAATTTCCAGAGACAAAAATTGAGATTTTTTTTTAGGATTTTTTCTCTCATCATTAATCTCAAATCTAAGTGATCTAAGAGTCATTTCTGACTAATTTGAACTCGCTCTATCGATTTCTGAAGTCAGAATTAAGAAAAATTCAAAAATAAAAATTTTCAATTTTTTGCACTTTTTTCTAAGGGTAACCCTTTGGATTTTTATTTTCAAATCTTCAAAGCTCGATATCTTGGTAACCAAAAGCGGTACCGAGACAAAATTTCCAGGATTTGTAGCTCCTGATGAGGGCTTTCAGATGGTATTCTGCTGAAATCGGTAGCTTTTATAGTTTTTGAGAAAATCGAATTTGAAGTTTTGGACAAAATTTTGACTAAAGTTCAACTTTGAAGTGCGATTGCTCGCGAACCCATTAAGGTACCAGAACCAATATGGTACAGTTTTGAAGAGAATTTATTGCTCTTTCCAATGATATATAATTGTAGCTAATTTGCTCAAATTCTATTACAGATATGAGCAATTATTCATGAGCGTGTCAATATTTCGAGAAATTTCCAGAGACAAAAATTGAGATTTCCTTTAGGATTTTTTCTCTTATTATAATTCCCAAATCTAACTGATCTAAGAGTCGTTTCTGGCTAATTTGAACTCGCTCTATCGATTTCTGAAGTCAGAATTAAGAAAAATTCAAAAATAAAAATTTTCAATTTTTTGCACTTTTTTCTAAGGGTAACCCTTTGGATTTCTATTTTCAAATCTTCAAAGCTCGATATCTTGGTAACCAAAAGCGGTACCAAGACGAAATTTCCAGAATTTGTAGCTCCTGATGAGGGCTTTCAGATGGTATTCTGCTGAAATCGCTAGCTTTTATAGTTTTTGAGAAAATCGAATTTGAAGTTTTGGACAAAATTTTGACTAAAGTTCAACTTTGAAGTTCAATTGCTCGCGAACCCGTCGAGGTACCGGAACCAATATGGTACAGTTTTGAAGAGAATTTAATGCTCTTTCCAATGATATATAATTGTAGCTAATTTGCTCAAATTCTATTACAGATATGGGCAATTATTCATGAGCGTGTCAATATTTCGAAAAATTTCCAGAGACAAAAATTGAGATTTCCTTTAGGATTTTTTCTCTTATTATAATTCCCAAATCTAATTGATCTAAAAGTCGTTTCTGACTAATTTGAACTCGCTCTATCGATTTCTGAAGTCAGAATTAAGAAAAATTCAAAAATAAAAATTTTCAATTTTTTGCACTTTTTCCTAGGGTAACCCCTTTGGATTTTTATTTTCAAATCTTCAAAGCTCGATATCTTAAGAACCAAAAGCGGTACCGAGACAAAATTTGCAGGGTTTATAGCTCTTGATGAGGGCTTTCAGATGGTATTTTGCTAAAATCGCTACCTTTTATAGTTTTTGAGAAAATCCAGTTTGAAGTTTTGGACAAAATTTTGACTAAAGTTCAACTTTGAAGTTTAATTGCTCGCGAACTGGTCGAGGTACCGGAACCAATAAGGTACAGTTTTGAAGAGAATTTAATGCTCTTTCCAATGATATATAATTGTAGCTAATTTGCTCAAATTCTATTACAGATATGAGCAATTATTCATGAGCGTGTCAATATTTCGAGAAATTTCCAGAGACAAAAATTGAGATTTCCATTAGGATTTTTTCTCTTATTATAATTCCCAAATCTAATTGATCTAAAAGTCGTTTCTGGCTAATTTGAACTCGCTCTATCGATTTCTGAAGTCAGAATTAAGAAAAATTCAAAAATAAAAATTTTCAATTTTTTTGCACTTTTTCCTAAGGGGTACCCCTTTGGATTTCTATTTTCAAATCTTCAAAGCTCGATATATTGGTAACCAAAAGCGGTACCAAGACGAAATTTCCAGAATTTGTAGCACTTGATGAGGGCTTTCAGATGGTATTCTGCTGAAATCGCTAGCTTTTATAGTTTTTGAGAAAATCGAATTTGAAGTTTTGGACAAAATTTTGACTAAAGTTCAACTTTGAAGTTCAATTGCTCGCGAACCCGTCGAGGTATCGGAACCAATATGGTACAGTTTTGAAGAGAATTTAATGCTCTTTCCAATGATATATAATTGTAGCTAATTTGCTCAAATTCTATTACAGATATGAGCAATTATTCATGAGCGTGTCAATATTTCGAGAAATTTCCAGAGACAAAAATTGAGATTTCCATTAGGATTTTTTCTCTTATTATAATTCCCAAATCTAATTGATCTAAAAGTCGTTTCTGGCTAATTTGAACTCGCTCTATCGATTTCTGAAGTCAGAATTAAGAAAAATTCAAAAATAAAAATTTTCAATTTTTTTGCACTTTTTCCTAAGGGGTACCCCTTTGGATTTCTATTTTCAAATCTTCAAAGCTCGATATCTTGGTAACCAAAAGCGGTACCAAGACGAAATTTCCAGAATTTGTAGCTCCTGATGAGGGCTTTCAGATGGTATTCTGCTGAAATCGCTAGCTTTTATAGTTTTTGAGAAAATCGAATTTGAAGTTTTGGACAAAATTTTGACTAAAGTTCAACTTTGAAGTTCAATTGCTCGCGAACCCGTCGAGGTACCGGAACCAATATGGTACAGTTTTGAAGAGAATATAATGCTCTTTCCAATGATATATAATTGTAGCTAATTTGCTCAAATTCTATTACAGATATGAGCAATTATTCATGAGCATGTCAATATTTCGAGAAATTTCCAGAGACAAAAATTGAGATTTCCTTTAGGATTTTTTCTCTTATTATAATTCCCAAATCTAACTGATCTAAAAGTCGTTTCTGGCTAATTTGAACTCGCTCTATCGATTTCTGAAGTCAGAATTAAGAAAAATTCAAAAATAAAAATTTTCAATTTTTTGCACTTTTTCCTAGGGTAAACCCTTTGGATTTTTA